CTGACCAACACCTCCAGGCAGCTTTTCAAACACTTCCCCAAGTCTGTGGCACTACATGGGGTTGTTGTGACTCACAAGTGAGTCTTGTAAGTGGCCTTATTGACTCTCACACAATTGGCCTTGGCCCATGGATCCAGCCTGCTCATACCAAGTTCTGTGAAGTTTATTTGATATATGCTCAGCAAGCCACTATTTCAGTAAAGGAAGGTCTGCAGCTACTCACCTCAACTCTCCTCACCAAAAATGCACACGTTCTCCAGACCAGCCTAGGATCTGCTTCCTTATTTCAGAAAAAATAAGTGAGGTTGATGTAAGAATTTAAATGGTAGGTTTTTGCTAGGCAAGGTCATTTTGTCTGAAGCATTTTAGACAGAATTCAGCAATTAGCTCCACTCACAAGTCTAAATTGTTACTAAATCTCTGACAGGGAAAAAAAGAGGGGGAAGGGGAAAAGAAAAATACCATTTATCTGTGAAAAGGTTATGGATCATTTATTCTACTGACAAGCAGAATACGAAAGAATGTTTGTGACCGAAAGCATTAGACAATTGCACTTGTGAATCCTTATAATGCATATTTCAGCTAATAGAAATCTTTGGGAATGAAAGCCTGTCTGGATTGGTTAAATCACCAGATGCAAAGTGCTAAAATTGCCAGTCTTGTTTCCCTGTTTAATCTCTTGTTGAGGAAGTCCCCAAGGCACTCTTTAATTGTGTTTACACAGCAAAGCAATGATATATCACATGTGGCAGTATAAAAATATTTTCATGCTGATTATATAGGTTTGCACAACTCTGATTAAGGTACTTTTCCTGTTTTAACTTTACAGCCTGACTTTCAAATTCAAATTTGAATTTATAACTGAACGCTTGCAAAATTTGCACTTTAACAACTAAAAAGTATTAGCAAAAAATTACACCCAATTCAGTTTTAGTTTATTTGCATTTCTTTTACACGACATAAGATGTTAAACAAATGTTTACTGTGCATTTCTTGCACATACCTTCACAAACAAAAGCAAGTCTGTTCCCCTGGTGATGACCCATTCAGGCAGCAGGGTACACAAGATTAACTGAATGCCTATGCAGAGACTTAATTCCAGCTATCTCTTAAGAAATACAGATCGCAATAGTTTTCTATTTTATTCACTTGTTGTCACAATGCTGCACAGTTTCTAAGCACAAATGGTATGAATAGTATCAGTTGTAGCCTTTAATCATAGATTCAATTCTCAGAGTAGCTACAGCTCCACATGTAAACTATATATGAAGAAAACCCTCTTTTTTTTTTCTTTTTTTTTTTTTTTTAAAAAAAGCCTGACAGATGTCTAAGATTTGGGGTGTTTGTTCTGGGTTTTGTTTTGCATTCCTAATAATTGTATAATTCAGCATGGTTCAGAACAGTCCTGGGTGTGGCCAAGAAAAACCCTCTAATGGTCTCCATTGCAAATGGAAAGGCGAATATTTCAGATTGCAATCTAAAAAAATTCACACTATTTCACAAATGTTTTTGGAAGGAACATTGATTAAAATTTGTTTTGTATTGCTGGAGTAGGATGAGCTACACTGGAAGCTGCAAACCCAGACCAAAAAAAAAAAAAAATCAGTTCCCCATAAATACTTGAGTTAGTGTTTACGTTGTAGCACTGAAAAATGTGAGGATAAACAAATTGTAGCCTCCCCCAGCAGAACTAGTCTGGAGAAAGACAATTTGTTGGGTTTGACTCTCATAAATGGACTCCACACACAGCAATACAAAACACTGATTTTTACAAACAACGAAAAGGCATCTCAAGCCTCAAAAGCAGAAACAATCATACATTCCTAAAAAAAAAATCACAGGTTTTGTTTGTGAAATCGCAGCTAATGGAGCCCTGTAAAATATTGTCTATCTCTATTTTCCTCACAAATATATCCACTCATATATGAGCTGTATGTATAAATGTTTACAGATACCCTAATACTACAAACTACACAAGTGGACTGACACTTCAAGAGTGTTAGAGGGGATTTGTTTAATCTATTCTCAGGTAATAATGAGAATCACATTAGATATTCTAACATTTAGCATGTATAATAAGTATATGTATAAGATACAGTTGTATAGCACGCAAGGTACATAAGCAAGTGAAAGTTACTCAGGCATGTTCCTATGTATTTTGCTGACTTTGGGATTGCATACAAGGCAGGAGTTGGACTTCCAATAAACTACAGGGGTTTTTTCACTTCTAAAATACATTACTTTCTGTCAAATTTAGGGAGACCAAACAACCAGCCAACATGAAACATTTCTGTTCAAATGATCCCATGCAGCTTGCGCAGAGACCTCCAAAAACTGCCATCGGTATTATGCACCACATGATAGACACAACAGTCTATCGAAGGCCATCAACAGTTAATCCCAATTGGTTTGCATTGCTTTCTGCCACTGTCAGATGTCCTTGTTTGCATGTATATCCTGTGCCTATGCTACTTTCATACTGTGACAGAACACAGCAAAGTCTTTGCACAATTTTTCAAAAGCAGTTTCATAAAAGCAAATGAGCCAGTGACATTTTTTAAAAAGAAATAGCACTCGGCACCCAAATTCCATTACATTTCAAAGAAATTTAAGAGTTCAACTCCCTTAAGGTCTTTAATGTAGGTTAGCTACACTCCATTTATCAAAACAGTAACTATTTGATCCTCACTTGCATAAAAAAAAGATGGGCACCAAGAGGCAGCTTCAAGCATCTTAAAGTCAGTGATTTACATGTATCAATTTAACCTTATATGTGGTGCCTTCACAGTCATTACCTAATAACTACTTTATTGCTTCCTGACAGGGGCCTCCTCCACTGTATCACAGCCATTAAATAATACACTCAGGCTCCCTCACCTCGTCCACATCACAGGTCTATCACTGGATCACTAACCAAGCAGTTGTCACCCTAAGCTGGTAACAGTTCAGAAAAAAGCTGACTAGACCACGTATGATTTATCTTTTCAAAAGAACTCAGTAGAATTTTCATAGAGTGCTATCAGATCAACTGGGTGCACCTAAACCAATTTTTTTTGCATACCAACTTCCTAACTGTAAAAAATACTCCTAACACCATACACTACCTTCAAGGGAAGGAAGTATCGGAAAAGTGGATGCTCCCATGTTTTTCAGGATTTCTTTGTACTGACTCTAGGCATGGATGGCTCTTCACTGCCATCTAAGCAATTTTTCATTCTTCAATTTAGCAATTCTTCTTACTCTCTGTAGGAAAAGGAACTGCCATTCTTATTGCCCAAACAGTAAAAGCACATAACGTTTAACACAAAAGCAAAGAACGCGAGGTAACTACTCCCTCAGTATAGATAAGCAAGAAAGAAACTAAAAGCAGAACCTAGGGGTTGACCTCGTGTTGTTTTGTAACATAAGCACTTTCCACCCAAAGGGCAAGAGTCAAGGAGGGTTTGATTGTGGAGTCAAAATAGTCCTACCGCTCTGTTATTTTAGCCTCCCTTTCTTCCTCCAGATTATTCCACTCAACATAACCTACAGCATTTAGTGATAAACCTGCTGGCACACAATTTATAGAGAAACAACACTTGACTCTCTCTCAGCTACTTATCTTTTTAAGCAGTGAAAAGAAAAAAAAACTTTCTATATATAGTGACTCCTTGGTGTCTAGCCTTCTCCCCCCCCACCTCCTGTTTTTTTGTATGTACACGGGACATGATGGTTTTAAGCAGAGCAACAGAGAACAGTTCACTTTCCCAAAAGGACATAATAGATGTTTTTTCACAATTGAAGGCATCTTGTAATGTATGGTTGACTGTGAAAGGTAGCTGTGAATAGATGATAAGATCAAGTATCTTTGCCTGTACTGAAGAACGCAAAGTCATTAAGTTTATGCCATTAATTGAGAATTAGTATATACTTGCATGATGTTCAAACAAAACAAAGATTATTCCATTATAAAAATAATTCAGGGCAATAACAAGAGCTTCTTTTTATAATTAGACAAGTATAAGAACAGCAAAGAGGTAGCAAAAAAATTACTAAGTAAAACACTTTCCTATTCTCATGAATCTGGAAAATTCCAGTGGCTAATGCACTGAAAAAATCACAGAAAATGTGAAAGGTATTTCACAATTACTTTGTCAACCTGTAGTAAAGTTTATTTTTCCAAAGGAACACCTCTAATATTTGTTATATGATTACCTTACACATTGCAAAATTAAGTGGCATCCCTTTTCAGATTTTATAATTGGACAAAAGCGTACAGAAAACCAAACACTTAAAAAATTGTAAACAGCACCCCAGCACTAATTCAACTAATCAAAAATTTACAAATCAAATTTTTAAAATGTCAAACTGTTATTTCACCTCTGATATAACCAGTGATCAAAAAAAAAAAGACTCTTTTCCCTCAAAATTTAATTTGTAGGCCAATGCTGACCACCTTCTCAGACTGGAGGCACAGCTTTTTATGGAGTCACACAAATGTCATATTCAGAGTTGTATTTGAGCTTTTTTTCCCGTGTCCAGTAACATGAACAAGAAAGAGCTGAAGGACCTCCAAGAAGGTGGATGGCAATTTGAAGGATTGAAAAAAAATGGGAAAAAAAATTATTACCTACTGCAGCCTGAATTCTGGAAAGACCAGTTTCTCTGCCCGCTATTTTATACATCTCAGACAAAAGCACGTATGTTCAAATCACAAGTGATGTGTACAGAAAAACAACACTTAATAATGCACAGAGAATTCTGATTTAAAACAGACAAAGCAGGAAATTGGTGACTTTGCATAAAGAAACAAAAGAGTAATTTGAAATTTCATAAAAATTTTAGAAGTTTCAGAAAGTTCTCTGTATTTTTTAATTTGTTGTAGCTTGGTAAAGAAAAGAAGGAAAAAGGTGTTGTTCCTTTACTACAACCCTGCTCCCGCTATAGTTATCCTTGCATCTTTCTTAGCCTGTATATGTTTATTTTCTGAACAAAAATAATATTTTTTTTTGATCACTTACCACAAAATAATAAAAAGACGCTACAGGAAAAAACATGGACTTACAGATCTTCAAAATACCTAAGGCAGAAAAATATCAATAAGAAAGAATAATATTAGCTAATCCAATTGTTGGTTTTGCATGCCTATATGTGGATGACACACAAGCCCATAAGAACCTAACCCAATCTTTGTGTAACAGAGTTTTGAGAACTGAAATTTACAAAATGAGTGGTTTATTTTTTCTTTATAATAAGAAAATGGATGATGTTTAATTTAGAAACTTAATTAGATACCCCTAGAAGCTACAAGTAACATTCTGTTTTATTCTACAGTGCAAAATTCTGTTTTTAAGAAACATTTTTTGTTTTTTAAAATTTAAACTAGCTTTTAAATAGTAACTCCCAAGTGGTTTCAAAACTTCTTCACAATCTATGGTCAATATATGCTGACTATTGAAGTTGACCATAAAAAAATTAATCAAATTAAGTGTACTTGAGAAAGAAGTAGGCCTTCTGAGCTAATTTAACTTAGCACTTTCTGCAAATGTTTTTGCAACACAGACCCCCAAACTGCTTTTCATAGCTTTCTAACACAGATTAAAGGACAAAATGAAGTAAGGATAATGCTATCCTAAAAACAACTGTACAGGAAGTACACCTACAGACAGTGGCAATAACTTGACTTGGCTCTTACATCAATAGAAGAGAGTACTCTCGTGTGCTGCCCATATGCAGGCTGTTTAACTATGAAGAAATAGCCAAGGGACTCATTTATATCTGTTTCTGCAGATGAGACAATTTAATACAAGGATCCATGGGCTGCATAACTGTAAATCTTTGACTGAAAATTACACATGGAGACAGAAAGCAATGAAAAATATTGCAATAGTTTGAGCCTAACAATGAACATCTCAGAGCTCCTACAGCATCAGTTTAGGGTGCCAAAACCATTAATCACTAGTCTGAATGAAAATGAAAATGTTTTATTTGTGTAAAAACATGAGAAAGGATGACTTAATTAGAGAACAAAACCCTCACTATATCAAGTTGATTTATATGTTTTTCTCATCTATGAGACAACAGTATTTTGCATTACATTTCTCTGCAATAAAGGGCATGAATTATCCTTCACTACCACAGTGAGCACAATAATACATCAAAGGGTTTAGGAAAGGTATGTTTAATGATATCCCTTAGATAGTCCATAAAGTAAACCAACATTTCATTAATCCCAACCATCCTGACTCCATAAGTATCTCAAAAGGCAGGCAAACTTACCAGTACCTTAACACAGCTTTACCAGAAAGAGACTGCTCTGAGTTTAAGTAATAAGCTAGAAATTAACACATTTATACAGGATGACCATACCTTTACAGAACAGAAACCTAAGTGTCTTTGTTCCATTCAGTCCCACCTACAAAGTTTATCAGTGATCTGGACAAGTCTTTAAAATTCTCCCTGCCTGTTGTCTATGATCTGCTGAGGCTGGAGATTAATACAAGTACTCCGGTACTCTGAAGCACAGGATGGTCTTCAAGACCCAGAACTTAATATTCCTATTTCTCTGACTTCAGGCTATTTGTACACCTTGCCTGCCCAGCAGGAATGAGGTCAGACTTCTTCTAGCCCTCCTTTCTTATCAGCGTCAGCCTAATGACAACATTTTAAAGGCAGGTGAGATCAATAAGCCACATTGGCCAGGCAGCATGCCTACCTTTCCATGTTGCAGGTGAATGAGTCTAGGATGTCCTCAAAGTTTTCTCTGGAGGGCTGTGACTGTATTACACTGGAATTGACATTAAAGATGATCAACACCTAAGCTCAACAGATGGCAAATCTGGCCTTCCTGTGCATAGCAGGTGCAGACAGAGATTCTGTATTGCCATTCTCCAGCAAAGAAAAGAAAATTCTCAGGTCCTTAATGTCTGAGGCTTAAAGGTAAGGGTCAAACACCTATCTTAGGCATTATACCACTGTACGTTACACCAGAGGGAGTCAGTTCCATCCAGCCTCCTGCACCACAATCGTGGCATAAACCTGCAGAAACATCTAAACATAAAAACACAGGTGGAATTCAGATTACCTATATTTGGTCTTGGTCCCCCAAAAGAGACGTAAGCAATGAAGCCTCCGTAGAGGTGATGGAGTCAAATTTCTGCACATTGCAACTAAGAAAAGCTTATAAAATAAACAGAAGTTTGCAGTAACAGCTATTATTATTACCTACTAGCATTTAGGCAGCGCATATAATGGAGGAAGGCATGTATGCATTTACCTTCTCCAATGTCAGCCTAGAGGACACACTGTTTTTGAATAAGCAGGAGACAGGAATCAGTCCCTTTTTGTTAAACTGAATAAAAAACATACTGTGTTCCTCCTAGAATACTAAAATGCTAGGTTCCTGGTGATTTTTATCTTTTAACCTCCTACTCTGGAACACGTTAGGCACCTTGTGGATTCTACAGCAAAATTTTCCCAGAAGTATTATTGGAACACAGCTTTTACCACCTCCCCCAAACGAAGTAGTGATTCAGCTGCAGAATAGTAAGGCTTAAAGCATGCTGAAATCACTGGTTTGCATGCATACTAACACTGTCCTCTTGTACTCCATTGTCTTCTCTATTTCCACTTCCTCCCTCCTGTTTTGTTCTCCAGCTGAAAGCTCGGGCACAGGCTGCCAGGCTGCTCTCCGTTTATACAGCACATACTATAACAGGGTCACAGCCTGGGAAACAAATTCCAGTGCGCTAAAACCCTATAAACAACCACCGCCAACAGGCCTGTCAGAGCAAATTAACTAAGTATATTTTGGTGATGCATGATTCCCAATGGCTTCTTAAGCAGTTTCTCTTCCTGATTTATGAAATCATCCAGTTTTCCACAATGAACTAGATGGCTGTTAGTGCAAGTTACTGAAATTCTGCTTGACCTATGCAAATCACTTTATAGGCAGATCCTCTGCTGGTGCAAGCTAAGACCTTCAACAACACACTAAGAACAACAACTTACACCACCATCTGCCCCTTTATCCACATTGACCTCAGACCTCCCCATAAACACTCCAGTTTCGAGGGTATGACTCAATCCACATTCATATCTGAGCATTCAGTCCTGTGGAAAAAAAGTGTCTATTAGGGTAGGATGCAGGTATGCTTAGTGAATTTTTCTATTGTACCTTGACACTGCACATACCTGTAAGTGGCCCTAGTTGGATGGGAGGGTAGAGCTGGTAGAGGGAAGGTTACAACTTTACCTACACTCCTCTGCTTTGGCAAAACCATCCTTATGTTTCAACCATGAGACAGAAACACAAAGAGTATACAGGACCTCACTGGCATTTAGAAGACTTTTCTCAGCAGTAGCTAGTTGCTACAGCTTGGTCTAGACACGAAGAATTTAAGAAGTTTCCTTGTAACCCCCATGGGGAATGTCCAACTCTGAAAACTGCTGGAATTTCCTGATAACTACAGTGTCCTGCCCTGTATTTTAGAAAAAACAATGTTGACAGCAATAGTGCACTGGAAGTAGACTTATAGTTTTCTGCAGAAATAGGGAACTTCCACCTACTTTTCACTTTTCCTTGTGATGAGAACTGATATGCATCACATGAGCCATTCCAGCCACACTCACACCCATTCCCACAGTTACATGAGTACTTACAGAAGAACAGTGAATACACAGCAAAGCAGAATTATTTCAAAAGCTTATATTCATTATTCTTGTTCCTTTAATTACAATTCCTTATGAAAAATTCTATAATCAATAGTATCTTCATTCTATTTTTAAAAAGTAAAGTAAGATTTGATGTACTGTATAAAATCATGCATTGGAAAAAATAATATTTAAAGTATACACCTCTTACCTTTACTTCAGAATACAGGCAGTCATGAAACTGACTTTTTGACTTTTCTTTTTAAATCAGCATAGACTCTCAGTTGTACTGCCAGAAAGACCACGAGATATGATAACCTCAAATACACACACTTCATTCTCAGTACACTTTTTCAATAATAATAATAACAATAATTCACAGATTCAAAAAAAGATTAGAACTCAGATTTGTATGCTGCATTATTTTAGCTATATCCCCACCTCTATGGGAAACTTTAAGTATATGTTAAAAATCATTTTTACACCAGGAACAAGGTGACATGCCATGAACGCAAAAATTTCATGTCACCTACTCAAGAATATACTTGCACTTCTTAATAACTAAAACCCACAGTATTTCAGAAAGGTCTGGTTTCCCCATGTGACCCTAGAGATAAGTGATCAGTTCAAGTAGCTGCACATTTAGCCATCATCCAACTGAATATGGTAACATAAGCATTAGCTATGGTGACACGTCATTATGCATTGTCTGTTCTTCCTATCTGATGTATTCAAAATTTGACAAAACCATACTTTACGACTCCAGGAAACTCCTGCATATACATCCAACAAGCCTGATTAGCCTGCAAAAACAAATGGTGGAGTGGCAGTTATGAAAGAAAAAGTTCAAAGGCAGGTCAGAAAGTAACAAAGCTCCATATGATCAGTTGGGTTAAGCTGCTTTCTGTATGATCAAGGAACATGAGCCAAATACAAGTATCAAGCAGCAGATCCGCAGCAAGTGAAGAGTCACAGTAGCATCAAACAGACACAAATGGACACAAACCTCACCAACTGCTTATGGAGGAGGAGGGTTACACCTGGTCATGCTGGCCAAAGGCAAAGAGATGAACCGAGTCGAAAGATGCCCATAAAGTATCTTGATATGGCTGTATTGGGAAAGGCATAATAGAAGATGGAACCCTAATGGCTAACAGGCCAAGAAAAAGAGAGAACAGATATCCTCAAACCAGAATCACATTTCTGAATTAGTTGGATTAAGCCTGGCAGCTCATCTCACATTATGGTACACTACCATGGTGCTTCTGTGAAGTACAAATACAGCCCCTGGTGTCTAAGTAATAGTGCCAGACACACGAAGTTGCTCGTGCCTTCTGTCAGGCCATTAAAATGTGCCACAGGTCTCAGACCTGGTCCAGGAGAAGAAGTTTTATTTGACCACCCGAGCCAGCGAAGGTGGCAGGCAGG